CACACACACACACCACCACCACCACCACCACCACCACCACCCCTTTTCCTATCTCTTAACACAGGTTCACCTCTTTGAGGGAGGGCCAGGCTGTTCCTGATTCCAACCAGAATGGAGAACCAAGCTCCTTCAAACAGAATGCCTTTGCCTGCATGAGGCGAATGATTTCTGCACTGGGGTAAAAAACGGGGGAAAAGAAAAAAAGTCCTTTGCTGTGAGATTTTTAAATTATTTATTTTAAAATGTTTTCTAGGATTCTTGCTCTCCTGTAGGTTCTTCAATTTGAGTAAAGTGAACTTGATTTCTACAAATCGACCAACAGAAATCACAAAAAGCAGCAGTCACATTCAAGTGGGGGAGGGGGCACGAAAAGGGGGCTTGAACTGGAGGTCATAAATATGCATTGCTTACACATCCTCTTGCACGATTGGTCTTTTTGTTTAGTTTTTTTTTTTAAGCAGATTTTCCAAAAGCAGTAGATCAAAATATGTGGGATCAGAGAAATAAGGTTGAAACCAGGTGTTGGTTTCACTTTTAGATCTTAAAACGAGTTATTTTGCCCCTCTGTTCTCAAATATCTCTTTGGTAAATGAGGAGACGAACGCAAAAGACATCGTTCATTTCAACTTATTATTATGGGTAATGTTTAAATGTAAACAAAACAAAGGGTCCTCGTGATTATCACTGACCTTGCACAATTTTTGATACAGAGATTATCCTGTTTCCTTTGTACGTCTATACTATTATAAACTACATTGATGTTTAGGTGAATCAAAATATTACATTCATCTTTTCATCTGTAAATAGTTCCATCTATATCCATTATATATACACACCACTTTAAAATATCCTGAATACTAGTTAAAGGGCTGCTCAAAGGTCAGCATTTCAGAACCACCAGCCGCTCACCTCCACTCCACTCTACTGCTCCCCTGAAGAGTTACAGCCCAGGAAGCCCAAGGATAGCCCTACCCTTTCCAGTAGGACCACTATGACTCAGAATGGACTTGATGACAGTGATACAATTTAAGTTTTTTTTAAGAAGCATAGTTCAAATACAGTGAAATAATCAAATCATATCTCTTTAAATCAATTTTGAAAATAATTAAAGTACTAGTGGCACCCACAACATTTTGAAAACAGAAAGAATTGTTATCATTTCAGAGAAAGAACTTTCTTTGTATCTGCCCGACTTCTTCCATTCGGCATATTGGTGAAGTCCATTCATATTCATGTTGCTTCCTGTATTAGTAGTTTGTTTCTTGCATTGCTTTTCAGTGTTTTTTTTTATTACTGTCAATAATAAGTGTTTTCCACTGTGGTCTATCACAGTGGGATCCTTTGGTAGACTATTGTAATAAATAATGCATTATTTCACCTGACTTCATAGATTAACAAAGACCTTTTCAATGCTTCTAGTTAAAAGGATAATGAAAATGACATTTTAGGTTCCTTGGACAACCATTTGGAGATTTTTTGGGGGGTGGTTGTTAATTTTTGAGATTTTCACATATAACTTTATTCCCCACCTTTATAGTCTTTCATTCTTTGCAAATGATTACTGAGTGAAAAAAACAGTTATCTTTTTCCCCAGGTTGAGTCTGTTTAGAAAACTCAAATCAATCTCAAACAAAGTATCAGTTTTATTTCCCTCTGTTCCACTTTTCCTGTTTCACCAGGGATACATACAATATTTCCTCTTCTGGCCGTAATCACCTGGAACTGGGTCAGACCTTTCAAGTAATGGCCCCCAGTTCTATAGGCTGCCAAATCTGCCTAAGATTCTGCTGCCATCTCCATGCGACCCCAAGCCATCTCCACCACATCTGACCTGCTGCCAACAAATGTAGGTGTTCTAGAACATTA